TCCGAGGTAGGATAAGGGAGACCCTTAAAGGGGAGCCCTTCTTAACCCTCTTCTGTCTCTGACCTTATTCAGAGGGTCTATATCGGCAAGGGTCCCCCTAGTCCTATCCCCAAGATCCTGAACTATTTTGCACGATTATTTGATTGCGCTTGACTTAGATTGGCTTGGACGATTTAGAAACATGCGGCTATGTTCAAATTAAGCTGGACCGTTTGGTGATTATGAGATGCCGCCGAGCCAGGGAACGAGGGTCTCATGATGCTTGCCAGGGGTGGGTCGGCGGCTCTGCGGGCAGGCGCCAGAAGAGGCACGCGAGAGGGGTCGAGTGGACCGTCTACCGCAGCAATCCGCAGCACATTGTACGAATACAGAGCACACCGGCTTTATAGTAAGTATAGACAAAACACTATAGACTATATACTAGTGTGCTAGAGACCCACAAGACGCCCCTGTTAGACCCGAAACATGCTGTAGTATGTACATTATGTAGTATATGCTAGCATATATAAATCCTAAACCCTAAACCCTAAACCCTAAACCCTAACCCTAAACCCAAAACTCTAAAACCCGAAACCCTAAGTTAAGACCAGCCCACAACCGCGCCACAGGGGCTAGAAACCCTAAACACTAAACCCTAAACCCTAACCTTAAACTCTAAACCCTAAACCCTATGTGGGGGAACCGCAAAGGGGGAGAAGGTACCAATAATATCACCCCGTAAGGGGCTCCAGATGTTTGGGATTGAAACCCAACAACCCTTTACTCCCTGAAGAGGTAGTGCAGGTTACCAAGGCCTAAACCAACAACCCAACCGCGGGTCCTAGTACCAACGCCCCCAGACCCTAATCCTGCTGATGGCTCCCGTGGCCATCTTGAGCCAAACATGTTACGGGTTGTTGCAACCCTTTCCAACATCCAACTACATCTCCGCACTCCCACTGTCCCAGGTTGCCTGGGACACCCTTGCGGCCGCCGCAAGAGTTTTACGCTTCATGGGCGATCCGTAGCCCTTATCTTTTTACGCCTCGTTGGGTGGTCCGTAGCCATCTTTCCTAATATCCCCATTGAGGATCTTTAAACCCAAAACGGAGGACTTGTAAGCGCGTCCGCGGGTTTGACACTGCCTGAGCGGCTACAGGATCTAAACCAAAACCCTATCTTCCACTCCACACCATCCAAACTCCCGAATAATTGGCCCTTTTCCAACCAAACAAGTTCAGCGTCATCGGTGGCACTCCAGCGGAATTTTCACGCCAGAAAAACCGCCCACAGAAAGACGCCAGTTCTTCCACCGCCAGTTGTGAACCATTCGGCCAGCGCTCCAGAAATTCTCACCAGCAGAATACATCCACACCAAGTCGATTTGTACGATTCACTTCCACGCGGCGAACCTCCAGTATCCGGCGGGAGTGAACCAGAATGTCCTCCAGATTCTCGGTAGTCAAGAGAGGGTGGGCAATTCGCATCATCCAAAGACAGCCGGCGCTGGAAAACCATCTGCTCGCCCAGAATCTGGAAGCACTGAGCTCGAAGCCGGTGTCGAACGACTCTTTGGCTCCTCCTTGCTCTTACATCGCACAGGCGTATAAACAGGCATCATCTTGACACCTTGTGGGAAATCATCTCCACCACCGTCAGAGCTTTGGCTCTTCGGAACAGCTTTAACCTTCTTCACAGCAGATCCATCCGCCGACTTCTGCATTTCTTCGTTGCCGGCGTAACAAAGGACTTTGAGCTCTCAACAGCAGCAGCCTTCCTCTTCTTTCCTGTCTTCTTGTTTTCAACTTCAGGAGGGTTCTCTTCCGGTGGAACGTCCCCATCCTTGGCGGGCTCCTCCAGAAACTCCTCCAGATCTTCAATTTCATCCTCCGTGTCCATGGGCACAGACTCGTTGCGTTCCGGGGATCGGTCCTTTGGCTCCTCCTCCTTTGCCTTCTTCTCTCTCTTGGGAGAAGGCTCTGTCACCGACTCTCGACCCAGATGCGCCTTCTCTGCCCAAATCCGAAAAGAATTTGTCCAATCCTCTATCTCCTCAATCGTAACGGTCGTAACGTTGTGTTCTTGAACCAAGCCAGATAGGTCCAACACGGATAGCAACCCGTCTGTTCGCGACATCCAGGCACCGTTCATCATTTCACTGTCTCCAGAAATACCGAGAAGCTGAAAAAGTTGCTTCTCCCTCCCACCTATCAACATTGTCGGTTCCATTGGGCATAATACGAATCGCTTCAGTGAGCATTTCAAATGCCCTCGTTTCCTCTTCAGACTCGTCCTCCTGTTGCAGAAAACGATCATGTTGAAAGGCGCATAAATCTCCACACTGGCCCATCCCTGTGTTTCTCCACCGATGACATAATACGCCAGCTGTGTCGTGTGAGGATTGACACCTCTCACCCTCAAAGCAGGGTCTTCCTGTTGTGTAATACTTGCACCAGTACGACTTCAGAATAATCGGCTCGTCAGTGTGTTTGAACTTGCAATCCGGGAGTGGCACGACCTGTAACAGAAACAGATCCCTCTCCGATTCTCAGCCTCATCAAGATCCATACCAGCTCGCACAGTTGAACGCCCATGGTCCTACACAACGGAAAAACCTTCTGAAGTACCCTTGTTTGTGGTACAACAACTCCTTGAATTTCTAGACAATCTGTCCTTGACAGTTCCGCGCCAGAAAACCAGCAGTCCACCGCCTCTTTCCCCCTCAGAGAAAGACCTCCTGCCTTGGGCTATTCTTTGTTGACACAATCCACTCCTAGCCCTAAGACGCAGCTTCCTTTGTCTCTCCCTAAAGCCTTTCCACCAAAGCAACAGACTCCCTTTTTAAAATCCAACCTTCGTGCACGATCCCAACGTCTCTTTTTCTTCAACAAGATCCAACTTGTCCTCGTTGATCCAGTTCATTGCCAGATCCAGCCTTCTTTGGGCCTTGGCCGAAGTTGGCCCCTCGCCAGGATATCCCAGCGTACTGTCAAAAAACCTTCCCAGTCCGCCTCGAAGAAGATGACGTTCCCAGCTGAGCAACCAGTCCATATCAATGTCTCCTCAGCATAGCAGAAAGACGGCCTGCAACTCCAGAAAAGGATCCAGACGTGTCGACCTCCTCCGGCGAAACCTCCGGCGCTCTTTTCTCCTTTTCCAGCACAGAGTCACTGTCATCTCCAGCATGCGTAGGGCCTTGTCTTTCATCACCACGCACATTTTCATCCGCTGGCCAGGAACATCTTCCAACAGAATGCACCCTCTGTTCAGGCTTCGGTGTGACATCTTGGCAACCTCGCAAATGTACTTGCCAGGTCGACATCTTGGCAACCTCGCAAGGACAGATATCTTTTCAGGAGGTGTGCAGAATGAAGGATGAGGAAACCCCACGCCCATAGTTCTAGTGCCCACAATTAAATTATTCCATCAAGAATGTTTTCCTTGGTAAGGGCCAGAAAGAAAATGCCCAGGAGGGCCAAAAAACTGAACTGCAGGGGGGGGGGAGGGGTAAACAATGACCAGTGGGCCTATATAACCCACGTGTTAGTGAAAAGGTGGCTGTTGCGAAGCCCATATAAAGCTTGAATATGCTTGAATAGTTCATTCGTCTCTAAGCCTGGGAGCCGTTGTTGATATGGCTTACCCCAAAACACGAATCTACTCGAGGTGATTATTCATCAGCAGCAGCTAATCTTTTGTTTTGTGAATGTTTCAGCTTTTCATCCTCTAGCCTACTTGCAACCTGCCTCGCCTAACCGTTTTGGTTCCGTAATTCGGTTCCGCATCCGACAACCCTGATTTTGAGGTTATTCTTCGGTATCCTGAGGAATGTTAACGTGCAAATTCAAGCACATTGGTGCCACCGGGAAGATTGTCCAAGAAACGCTGTAAGGGAAGGTTGAAACCGTTCGGCATGTCGTCTTTCTTGTGACGTGTTTCCGCAAGGTAGTCACGTCCGAAGCTGTCAAAGGCAGCTTTGCAACTGCACGTTTGACAGCATGAACGAAGTTGATGGTGGTTGTCAGCTTTCCCATGTCATCTTGCAAATTTGCGCAGAGCAAGTGCGCTCTTGTGCAAGGAAGGAAATGCAATAGGTCTTGCATGATTCGAACAACCTTCTTGTGCCAACAATGCGCTTCCTCTTCACTTCCAGCAGCCAGCCATGGCCAAGCCCTTTGCATGAGCAGTGACGACCGGCTTAGTCCTTAGGTGTACCCGGGAGTGTACATGCATTGCACTGTGGGATTGCCCATGGTATTCTATCTCAGTTCAGGACAACCCCCATGAAGACGGGATTGGCATACGTGGCGGCCATCAGCTCGTGCGCTTTGTATTGCCTCAATGGCTTCTTGGCTTTCATGGTTTTGTGTGCGACATGTGAAAAACCCGCTGGCCTTAGAAAAATAAGGCGAGCTCCTGCAGGCAGGGTTTTGCCAAGCTTGACCGCAACATGGGCATGCCGATGCAAAGCAACTTCGTCGACGAAGCGAGCTTCCCCAACCCCCCCCAAAAGCATTGGTTTTGAGTGCCGCATCCATGAGGCACTGCAGCGTGCGGCTCCTGGGCACCATGCTTCGCCGTTGCTGAACCTGGCCCTATGCCACCTCGGGGGGCTGCTGCACACCGGACGAATTAACTTTCGGAAAGTTGGAGGCAAAAGCTTCTTGAGCGAGTGTGATCTGTTCATGTTTGTTCCGCGAGGTTTGTGCCGCATTTTGGAAGCACCGGCTCCCAGCAAGAGGACTTGCGGGTGACTGGAATTTAGTTCTTTCTCAATCCGAGTGATTGAATCGCCGTTCAGAAGCAGTGTTTTTTGGTTCTCAGCTGCATTTGCCTGCCCTTGCATCCTTAAACCATCCGCGATCGCAGGAGCTTGCTTGCCCATCATCCACAGGCACCCGTGCAATACTCTCGCAGCGGCCGCGCCTTGTGGCGTTGCCCTTTGCCGCCAACTTGCAAGGAGAAGGATGTGAATCGTTTGTTTGTTGGTGGGGAATCTTGAGTTTGAGGCCCTGCTCCTCATGGGCTACAACTACGCTTGGCTCTTGAGTGCCAGCTTCATAGACCTGCGCCTTACGAACGCGGTGTTCCAAGTCTCCGTAGCTCCTCGGTTTTGAGTCATGTCGTCTTTGGGAAGCACGTCTGAACGCGTGCATGACGTCTTTGGGAAGCACGTCTGAACGCGTGCATGACGGCAACACCAAGCAGTGATTCCATTCGAGGCTCTTGTGTACGTTGCGAGCGTGCAACTCTTTGGGGAGGCTTCTGAGCTTGTTCCTGCACAGCTTCTTGAGTCACATGTCAAGTCAAGTCGGCCTTCAGCGGTGACTGGACTGGATTGCACATTCTTGTCAACAGAGCAGCATGCAGATCCAACACAGCAAGAAAGCGCAACCAGGGTAGAGTAGATGCCATGATTTTGAAGCACAGGCGGTGTGTGTGGAGCGGCTGCTTGGCGTGATGCTCTCCCTTGCAGGCCATGTTTCTGTTGAGTCCTTCTGTTCTGAACAATGCAGCAGAGATTTGCTTAGTTTAGTTGGGCAGTTTTGGCACCCTTGTTCCTTGGTTGGGGATCATCGCCTACTCCAGTTCTGCTGAGTCCACCGTTCATGGTTTTTTATTCTGGCTCGTTCGAGCAACGCCAGGATCGTTCTTGGCCAGCGGTCTCAGGTGGGATGACGGACGCCGTGCGCTTACAAAAGGTTTGGGGACAGGGTTCTGAAAGTCATGCGAGAGTGCGGAATATCGAGAACGCACAGCAACCGTAGAATGCCCGTGCAGTAAGCCGGCAGAATGCCGAGGCAGCACAGGCCCGCGGCATCAACTCCAGGCCATGTGAAGGTGTTACCCTGACATTGTTACGTTTCTACTTGTATTCTTTTATGAGCCTTTCGCATTTGCTGCTGGACAGGTTGTTGGCTTTGCTCTGGCACTTTCTGCAGCTGTGGGCTACACGGCCTATCAGGCAGCAAGATTCACACCTCCCAGTCATACCGAGTTAAGACACATCGTTCACAAAGGGTGCCGACTCCATACAGTCTTGTATGCTATGTCCATACCGAACAGCACCTCGCGAGCTGATGAGAATGGGTGAAGCATGTACTGCCTCGCATGTAGAGAGGTATTGTTTCGCTGGATCTTTGGCCACTTGAAGCAAAATGCTTCCTTCCTGGCTCACTTCTTCTCCTGGATCAGCTTGTGGTATCTCAACTGCATTTCATATGCTTTTGCCTGACTTGTGACTCAGGGCTCCACAGTGCGGCTTGAATATCACATTAAGAAATCCGTGGGCAAGTGAGCAGTCTTGGCATCTTGAGAGGTGAAAAGATGTTGGAGACGAGATCCTGCGTGCTTTGCACTGCCTTGAGCTCCGACCCTTGCAGATCTCATTCAAGCGAGGCATTTGCTGATAGTGCTGCCGCTGGTCCTGGCAGCTCACGTTGCTGGTATTGAGCGGCTGCAGCTGCCGGGTCCCAAGGGCTTGCTCGCATTTTGCACGCAGCTTGCGCATCTCAAGATCCTAGTTTGATCGTACCATATCGTACCTTTCGGACCCCGGCAGGCCGCATGGACTTTTCGCGCTGCTGGGCACGGGAGTCTCTGCGATGATTGCGTCGACAGTGAATGTGCCTTGCTCAGCGACGAGGCATCACCCCTCGACTGGACTCATTGTATGCTGACTTTGCATAGACATGCCTCATGTCACACCATGTATCCAGTGTTGCACTGCTTGTGTAACTTCTGTATGTCGTTACGACAGCAAGAATGCAATGGCTTGGGCTGGTGTATGGCACATTATGGATCTCAGGTGCTTTACTTGTGCATAGCCCACGCCTCAGCGAAGTGCCACTGCGGTCCAGAATGCTGTTGCTAACTTGGTCTATCTGGGCCGCGATCCACAGGTTTCGCATTTTTCAAACCAGAGCGGACATTTGAAGGCGTAGCTCAAAAGTCCGCGATGGTGCTCGCGCAAGCAGAAATATACTTTCGCAAAGCCTTTAGGTAACCTATGTTTTCTGCCGTCCTTGCTGTCGAGGTATCTTGCTAAGTGCTTGGCACTTGCCGGCAGTCTGCAGGCGTACAGGTTCGAATTCCGCAGTTGCATGACAAAATGCGCTCATAGCCAGATTGCACGCTTCCCGCTGCGCAAGCGAAAAAAACAAATATATATATATATATATATATGTGTGTGTGTGTGTGTGTGTGTGTGTGTGTGTGTGTGTGTGTGTGTGTGTGTGTGTGTGTGTGTGTGTGTGTGTGTGTGTGTGGTGTGTGTGTGTGTGTGTGTGTGTGTGTGTGTGTGTGTGTGTGTGTGTGTGTGTGTGTGTGTGTGTGTGTGTGTGTGTGTGTGTGTGTGTTTTTGTTTGCCCAGAGCTTCAAACTCCTCGAATTTTGCAAAGCACGCGATCTGAAAAGCCCTGCATCCAAATTCGTGAAAGTCCCGCGAAAGCTAGGCAAGGTCTTGGCCCATCCGGGCCCAGACGATGTCTGCTGTCAGCCAACCCTAAGCCGACAACCATCGTCGTATTAATCTGCCTCCCCCACCCCCCACTTCTGCCAAAGTCCGACCCGTAAGCATGGGGTTGGCGACAGTAGAGTTCAATTTCGCGTTCTTGGAGAAAAGGTTTTTATTACGCACCCCAATTGTGAGAGTGTGCAGTGATGGTACAGCATGCCGTCGTCAGTGCTGTGCCGGAGGTGATGTGGGGATCCCCGATGCTGCTTCCAAGCACATCCGCCTTGTCGGTGCCACTGACTGTGGCTCAGCTTCGTTAGAACTTGGTGTGCAGGGCAGGCATTGCCCCTTGCCCAGTTGTCGAAAGGTGGTGCTGGACATCGTCATTCACAGTAAACGACCCGATCACGTGGAGTTGACGGGTCAGGGTCTGGTGTTGCTGTCGGTTGTTCCTTGGCTGCAAACAGAGCAGTCCTCAACGTCAAAGCAGCAGGTAGATCGCGTCTTCAAGTGGCATCTTGCGTCAGGTACTCATCATGCAGCTGTACAAAGTTGTGCTGCCAAAAAGACTGTCACTCAAAAGTGAGATGATGTCTGTGTAAGCCTCATCGGTGAGACTTCTTCAGAGGGGGCTGGGGACAGCGTGGATGTTCTCATGCCTAGAAGCAAGAACAGCGAGTTTATGGTTATGTTTACCAACCCCGGCTTTCCGTGCTTTATGTTCCCCTTGTATTGCTTTGCAGAGAACCTGTTCAGACGCAATTGCAACCTCTTGAGAAAAGCTGATGAGTCGTGGAGCTACCTTGCGGAGTGCGCAGCACAAGGGTTCTTGTTTGTTTGTTCATGTCAGTTCGAGCGACACTGTAAAGTGCTCAGATCAGCGCTTGTGGCTCTCTCTGGACCGAGAACAAGTCTCGATGCGTACGCCGTTGATACACGTGTCCACGAATGCTCAATATTGTGGAGCCCACAGGCTTTAGGCACAGGCAACCCTGCTATTTTCAACCCCAGGTTAGCATCGCACTCGGTGTCAATTTGGCATAGTGACATAGTTGCAAGTGTAACCCGTTCCATGTCAGAGTGAATTTCAGCAATGTACAGTCTTAGAGGTTGCGGTGGCAACCACTTCGGCATGTTTGCAGGCTTTCCATCTTCGAAGTACTTTGTGTCTGCTCGATTCAACTGTGTGCCAGTTCTCTTGGTCGTACGAGAGAGCTCGTTGTTGTTGCTGTCTGTCGCCAGGCACCAGATCCGATTTCATCATCACGCAGCATCCCGAGGCTGGGGTCTCAGCCTGAACTCCAAGAGTTCTCCAGCGATACACCTTTGGGGCAGTCTAAGGGCCAACAGGGCTTGTCGGTGTGCTTTGCACTTCGGACATTTCAGCTTGATCCGTTTTCGCAGCATCCTGAGTTCAACCTGGGTCGGGTTGCCAGTGAACAAGGCTCGGCACGTAGATCGCCTGTTTGTGTTCAGTGGTTCCTTTGGTACACAGAGTTTTTGCGCCGATGGTGCAAGGACTCGGAAGCCAATGGGACACGACTCGATGTGCAGCCCGCGTCAACAGGACATGGACAGCAAGATAGATCTCAGCAAGATGCAGGCTTGAGGAACTTTGTTTGCTTTCACATGCTTTGTGTGATTTGTGATGGTGTTCGGCTTTGATTTTTTTGAAAGTTGCAAAGATGCTTTCGTGATGGAGGCTGCAGTCCACTCGGGTACTTTGTGGCACACGAGTGCCATGTAGTGGCAATGTGACATCGTTGTACCATCATCTGCTTTGGGGAGCCATCTGACATTCGACAGTTGTTTTCTTTGCAACTTGGGCACAAAGGAAGCATTCAGCAAAATCTCGTTAGAGTTTGTATTCGACTTGTATCTGTTTAAACTCATTTGTCTACCATGCAAGGAGCTTCGTCCTGCAGCACCTCCATGAGAGTCGCCTCCACGACTCCCATCGCCTGTGCGGGCTCGGCGCTGGTGTGTGTGTGGGCAAACATGACAATATATAGTGCTGGACTGAAGGGCTGGACATTTGTTCTCTCTTCCAGGCCGCGACAGCACGGCCTCACATTGAAGGATCGGGCAGCTTCCTCGACAGAGCTTGCTGCGGAGCACGCGTTCCAGTGAATCGAGACTATCATTTTTTCTTGAGAAATCATCATGCTGTAGACTGCAAGACAAGGCCTTGAGTCGTGCCGCAACGTTGCCGAATCTTCAGATGGCTGCGGAACTGGAGGCCAGGCTTCAGGGACCTGTTGGCGAATGCGCGCCAACTGTCGCTGAGCATCCTTTATTGGGGCTTGCCCTGTCTGTGTGATTTGAATGTCGCAGGCTTCTGAAGACAATCTTGGCAAGTCCATGAAGGCTGGGAGTTGGATTGTCCTGCACATGTCGTTCTGCATGATGGACTCATGCTATGCGCGCACAACATGGAGGCCTTAGCCTTGCGAAAGAAACGTGGACATGTGCCACAGGCATCGCAGACTGTACTGAGCATGCACAGCATACTTGCCATACTTGACGTACTTGCCGTATGTGATCTGCAACCAAGGCTCGTCCTGGGCACAAGGCTTTCCGCTACCCCCAAGGCAGTCAGCATCAGGGATCATGGGGTGCGCACTCTGGTCCATATGCTCAGAAAGATTTCCCTGTGCTCTTCAGCAGCATTGAAGATGTCCAAACATATGGACTTCATAAATTTGCTTCGGTGGAGGACTTGGCCAGTACAACTATACCGTGCCGGCGCAAGCGTTGCCAATCCTGCAGAAGTTCCAGCGACCCATAGTAAATCCGCCCATGTTGTCGGCAGTGCCTTGACCAGGCACTGCACTTTTAAATGAGGTAGGCCTGTCGAGTATGTGCAAACCCTGCATCAATGTCCATAGCTGCGACAGTTTGGCCGCTGATATCTGCGGACAGAAGTAGAAGTATGTGCCATTGGACTCTTGTCTGGCCCGTTGCATTTCTAGACCTCTGCGACGTTGCAATGCACTTCGCTGCAGACGTTGGTCGTTGCCAAAGGCAACACGTAGGTAGCCAGGTGTTCGGTCTGGCGTGCAAAGCAAACAACCTGCGTTACACAATCTTCGATTGCTGCAAGTTTCAGGTCCTGACACGTTAAGGTGAGTCGGGATCGTTCAATGTGTCGAATGAGTGGAAGGTTCTCACATGTTCTCGCGGTAGCTCGTGGCAACTCCGATTGTGTGAGACCCGTGACCTCGGACACTGCCTCCATGTTTTTTGTGCCTTGTGGCTGGCATCATGGTTACCATGCTCGTATTGCAAGATAGCCGGATGACCTTGACTCATCTGCAGCAGCTGTTTCTTATTGATCAGAATGTTTCTCACCAAGAGGGTCATGATCTACCAGCCATGGCAGCAGACCATGTCTGATGACTGTTCTTCATGTCCATGCCCGTTGGTACTACTGAAGCTACAATCTTGAGGACAGGTCTCAGATCGCACTTTGGACGTAGATAAACATCCAAGTGAGCCAGCGGGGTCTCAAAGACATGGCCACAGCCATGGCGGCCACGATGCGGCCCTTGGCCAGGCACAACGGTTGCAAGGAGTTAAGGATTCCTCACAAGACTGTGACACAAGGTGATTTGCGCCCCTGTGCATACCATAGATGATCCCGAACCGAGCCAGCCCCCCCCCCCCCCCCCCCCCCCCCCCCAATGTTATCCCCCCCCCAACCCCCCTAAACCCTAAACCCTAAACTCTAAACCCTAAACCCTAAACCTAAACCCTAAACCCTAAACCCTAAACCCTAAACCCTAAACTTAACGAGGGCTCGAGGAGCGTGCAGCAGAGCCCGAGCGGCCGCTGCCGAGCTAGGCAGAGCCAAGCACTCGGCTGCGAGAGGCTTTGCAATCTGGTAACGTCTGCAAGCTGCGCTGGAGGCTTAAGCCTCCAGCTTGGGCCTGGAACCGACGCTTAGCGAGTAAGGCTTTAGCCATACCACCACGTGAGGCGGACGGGTGATCCGGGTTTAGGGCCCAAGGGGCCGCCTTTCGCCCATAAGCGGCCTTCCCATTGCAAGGGACCTTCTATGCAGGGCCCTGTATGTGGGCCTTCCCCCGTAAGGGGCCTTCCCTTCGAAAAGGGCCTTCCCCCCCAGAAGGGGCCTTCAAGTACGGCCAGATGCGAAAACACTCCAGTATATTAGAAACGGGGAACAAAAAGTTCAGCCCCTCGGCCCAACCCCAAACGCGAAAAAGCCTCAGTGTTGTGGCCCCCCAAAAAAAATGTTTGCACCCAAACCAGCACGGAACAAAAATGTAAGCCCCATTGATAGGGGGTTGGGGGTAGAAACCCTAAACCCTAAAAGAGTCGAGTCTGGGTGGGTCTAGGGTGGGTGTCACTTAGCTAAGCTGGAGCGAGCGGCTCGTGGTGTTTTTACACCCGAGCGAGCGAGTACGACTGACACACCCTAAACCTTAAACCCTAAACCCTAAACCCTAACCTTAAACCCTAAACCCTAAACCCTAAACCCTAAACCCCAAACCCTAAACCCCAAACCCTAAACCCCAAGCCCTAAACCATAAACCCTAAACCGCGTTACCGCGTTTAGACCCCCATTGTTCAGCACGAATTTGGCGTTTTGACCCGTCTGACCCGTTTAGCCCCCATTGTGCAGCACGAATTTCGCGTTTTGACCCGTCTGACCCATTTGGCCCCCCATTGTTCAGCACGAATTTGGCGTTTTGACCCGTCTGACCCGTTTGGCCCCCTATCGTTCAGCACGAATTTGGCGTTTTGACCCGTCTGACCCTTTTTGGCCCCCCATTGTTCAGCATGAATTTGGCATTTTGACTTGTCTGACCCGTTTGGCCCCCCGTTGTTCAACACGAATTTGGCGTTTTGACCCGTCTGACCCATTTGGCCCCCCATTGTTCAGCACGAATTTGGCGTTTTGACCCGTCTGACCCGTGTGATTGTTTGGCCTCTTGGTGCGTCTGAACAGAAATTAATGAACTTTGTTGTTTTTTCTTAATGTTATGGGATTCTTTGGGCGGGTGGATTTTTTCCGTTGCCTACACACACTGCTGGCCTAGTAAATGCTCGAACTTGTGCTGAACCCTAAACCCTAAACCCTAAACTCTAAACCCTAAACCCTAAACCCCAAACCCCAAACCCCAAACCCTAAACCCTAAACCCTAAACCCTAAACCCGAAACCCTAAGAGAGCGCCGCTGTCCATTTGCATGGGCGCTCGAGGCTTCGACCGAGGTTCCCAGCATCTTCGCAGAACGGTGAGGGAGGGTAAAGCCTCCCGCTAGACGGCAGAGCATGCAGGAGGTGTGGGACCTGATAACAGTGTAAGTCTCAAGCGAATGTGAAGTGTCGGGCTTCGTCGTTTCGAACACTGCCGTTGCCCTGAAGACTGCTCGTTGCCACAGCCAGGACAGTTGGGCTGAAAATGCCATTTTTATTGCAAGTGTGGGGTTTGTGCATCCAGGCTTTGCCTAGATGTGGCTGTAGAAATGCGACGACAGTAATTTCCTGGAGGATGAGGTTGCGTCCGAGCAGCGCGCCCTGGCTGATGCTTTGGCTTGCGGGCGCGAGGAGAGAGACAGTGTAAGCTTTACTGACTCAGCGTGAGGCTCAACCGACCCCTCAATGGCACGCTGGATCCCCCTCAATGGGCAGCAAAACGGCTGGTGGAGTCTGCCAGCCTGGGAGGGGTACCCCCCAAACCGCCTATCAATAATGGTGCGGGGTTTGGGGTCCTAATTATATAGGGCTGACGCCCTTGGTCTGAGCGTAGCCAGGCACTGCCGTCGCTCCTCAAGAACCGCCCGACACAGCCTTTCAGCCACCAGCTCTTCGCGAAGTGCAGCATCCCGTCAAGTGGGCTCAAGAGTCACTGGAGACCTGAAGAGCCTAGTCTCCAGCATGGAGTTCTTGAAGGCCACTTGGCTGCAGAGTTGCCAGAGCCTGGTGCTCAGCAGACTGAAGTTGAGGGGTGTAGTGCATGCATGGAAGACCGGCGAGTGTGGCAGCATGATTGTTGAGCGCAGAGATTCTGCGAGTCTTCATGTCGTTGCACAGGAGGTCGTTGAAGAGAAGACTTTCCACAAGCTTCCTGGATGTTGCAAACAAGGTTGCTCATTGGAGTTAGGGTTTGCTTGTGATTTACCAAGTGTTGCTTCGGCGCAACAGCTTAAGCTTTAGTCTTCAGGACCAACAATTATACAAGGTGAAAATATACAGGTAAGCAATGATGCTGTCCGGATTCGTTTTTGGGACGCCCCGTGAGGGCTCGCACTCAAGATAACAAGTTGCCTATCCCACCACAGGAAAGTTGTGTCTGCATCTTTGCATTCCTCCCTACCCCCACGCCCCCCCTACCCCCCTCACAGCCCCCCATCCCCCCACAGCAAAAGAACCAAAAAAAAGGCAGCCACGCCCCCCCTACCCCATCCCTCCACAAGGAAACTAGAAGAGGGATGGCCCGAAAGCATCGATTTGCCGTGCGTTGACTCCATGCAGTTGACTCCTTGCAGCCGAAGTGTATGCACTTGGACAAATGTATGCACTTACATGGTTGCATAGTCACTTGTACACTGCACTTGTCTGATTTGCGATGGTTTTGGAACCAGCGAATTCGGGGACCATGGTATACTTGCGATGCTTTTGGAACCAGCGAATTCGGGGACCATGGTTTTCGCGATGGTTTTGGAAACAGCGATTTCGGGGACCATGGTATTTGCGATGCTTTTGGAAACAGCGACTTCGGGGACCATGGTATTTGCGATGGTTTTGGAACCAGCGAATTCGGGAACCATGGTATTTGCGATGGTTTTGGAAGCAGCGAATTCGGGGACCATGGTTTTCGCGATGGTTTTTGGAACCAGCGAATTCGGGGACCATGGTATTTGCGATGGTTTTGGAACCAGCGAATTCGGGGACCAGGGTATTTGCGATGGTTTTGGAACCACGATATTTACGAGGTTTTCGAGGCCCCGGAATTCGAGTCCCACGATATTTGCGAGGTTTTGGAGGAATTCGAGTCCCACGATATTTGCGAGGTTTTCGAGGCCCCGGAATTCGAGTCCCACGACATTTGCAAGGGTTTCGAGGAATTCGTGTCCCACGATATTTGCGATGATTTTTTTGCGATGGTTTCGACACGCAAGCTCCGGGTGTCCGCGGCGGGAATGCTATTTGCGAGGTTTTCAAGTATGTCCGGACTTCCGCTTCCATGCTATTTGCGGTGTTTTCAAGCGCCCAGATGTCCGTTACCATGCTATTTGCAGTGTTTTCAAGCGCCCAGATGTCCGTTACCGTGCTATTTGCGGCGATTTCATGCGCCCAGATGTCCGTTACCATGCTATTTGCGGCGTTTTCAAGCGCCCAGATGTCCGTTACCGTGCTATTTGCAGTGTTTTCAAGCGCCCAGATGTCCGTTACCATGCTATTTGCGGCGATTTCATGCGCCCAGATGTCCGTTACCATGCTATTTGCGGTGTTTTCAAGCGCCCAGATGTCCGTTACCATGCTATTTGCAGTGTTTTCAAGCGCCCAGATGTCCGTTACCGTGCTATTTGCGGCGTTTTCATGCGCCCAGATGTCCGTTATACCATGCTATTTGCGGTGTCTTCAAGCGGCCAGATGTCCGTTACCAGCGGTGTTTTCAAGCGGCCAGATGTCCGTTACCATGCTATTTGCGGTGTTTTCAAGCGGCCAGATGTCCGTTACCATGCTATTTGCGGTGTTTTCAGACGCCCAGGGCGTCCGCGGCGTACTATACGTCTGTACTACAAAAAGTCGACTTTCCAGCCGCGGAAGCTCCGCGTGTGCGCGGCGTAC